CACACAGAGCTCAAATGCACCAAGATTCCATCGAAATAAGAGCAAAGCAGTGAACTCGTGTGCCAATGTCATTGCCCTCAGACCCCACCAACACAGTATCCAATGTCACTCGTCTCTGTCTGGCGTCCCATCCGTGCTCCCCTCTCCCATCCTTCATCGCCCTCCCATCCCTGGCCGCCCCTCCCATCGGCCAAACCCTCCTCCCGCATCACAAAAATGCAAGGAATATGAGCGAGAGCGATAGACAGAAAATCAAGTTGCAAAATCAAGCAGAAGTCCAGATAGTCATGTACCAAGCAGAGAGCTCACCAAGATTCCATCCAAATAAGAGCAAAGCAGGGAACTCGTGTGCCAATGTTATCACACAGAGGGCCCTTTCAGGGCCTGTCCAGTTCGGGTACCAGTTCTCAAAAAACATCAGCATTATTTTTCCGGGGTACCCCAGGCCCAGGTAAACGGCCTGGGAACCCCAAAACAAATTTTCAATTTTTTTTTTAAATCGGGGTCCAACCGGACCCTCCGAACCTGACACCGGACCCAGACGCCGGACACCGGACGCCGGACTGTCTGGGTCGGGATCCGGACGTCCGGTTGGTAACCATGCTTTTGGTTTGGGCCCGCCAGGCAAATCGCCCCGGCCCCCTGTGGTACCCTAGTCTCTCTGGCAATCGATCGACGGTACAAGAAAACTAAGGACACATAAATCTTGGAGCCTTGGAGTGTCGTCGACTTTCATTCTTTTTGCAGTTTTGCAGCCCGCACTCGTGTGTGATGAGACTTCCCTCATTATTCCTGCTCTCTCCTCTCCTATCCTCTGCTCCACTCACTTCATACGCGAAAGAATTGTACTCTTCTTCTTCTTCTTCTTCTTCTTCTTCTTCTTCTCCTTCTTCTTCTGCTTCTAAGGCTTCTGCTTCTGCTTTTGGCTTTGCTTTTTGCTTTTGCTGGTTCTTCTGCTTTTGGCTTTGCTTTTTGCTTCTGCTTTTGCTTTTGCGCTTTGCTTTTTGCTTCTTGCGCTTTGCTTTTTGCTTCCTCCGTCTGTACATGAATGATATATATATATATATATATATATATATATATATATATATATATATATATATGTATGTATATAAAAAGGATACTATACTACAATCTGGTTCTTTGCTTGTGAAGTATTCCAAGTTTCAGGAAGGTTGATCCCCCACCATTTTCTTTCAAAAGGGGTATCACGGTACTATCACCTCGATTCTGTCACGATTCGAACTCATGATCTTTTTACTAGCAGTCTAGGAGTTACATGTATACACATGTACCAGTCGGCCAAATGAAAGTCGATGGAAGTTAATGAAAACCCTAAATTCTGCCGCTGAACATACATTGCACTCGCTTGTCTACCAGCCAGCCAGCCCCACATGCTTTCCGCAGCAACTGCATCGCAGCAGCAGCAATTGTCGTGCGTCGTTATCTGATGTCTCCTCTCTCTCTCTCTCTCTCTCTCTCTCTCTCTCTCTCTCTCTCTCTCTCTCTCTCTCTCTCTCT